TGCAATTGCTTGAAATTCAATACACTTGAACCCATCTAGATTTTTGTTATTCTTGTTTATTTCGTATACATTTTTCCAGTGCAGTCGGCCACAGTGATTTCAATTACCCAACTTGCAGCTGCAGTTGAATTTTATTTTCAACACAAACTTCTGGCTTTTGTTTTTGTTTTTTTTTTTTTCTTGGAGCTGCAAGGTAAATTGATCTTAAGTGGCATAATTTTCAATGCAATGTTAAGCCAAAACAAAACAAAAAGCAAACAGCAGGTAAGACACTAATCTACAGACATCATTTATATATTTCTCAACTAAACTCCAAGACAAAGAATTACATTTTCACTTTTATTTATGACTCAAGTTGGCTTTGTTGGCAAGTGTAATCGATATTGCGCCAGCTATCTCGAATGCTCATTGAGCTTGCAATGCCAAAACAACATTATTCTCGGCTCTCCGATATATACAAATATGGTCTGGGTCTGGTCTATGGCCGTGTAACCGAAGACGATTTTTTCGCAATTTCAGTCTGAGACCTGCATTGGATTTCATTGCATCTAAAAATTGTTGCTCGAGTTTCAGCAATTGTTCTCAATTGTTGGCTGCTACAATTGTCGAAGTTGCTCATGTTGATGCCGTCTTTAGACCGCAACCTTGTCAGCCAGTTTGAATCCATATATAGTGCATAAACACACATGTATATATATAATATATAGATATATATACATATATATGTATATCTTGAGGTAGATACTCTATTTATTGCCTTGTTTATATGGCAACAAATCCAAGCGCATTAAAGATGGCCTGAAATCGGCCAACGAATCCGACAAAAGGAAAGCAATTCTACCTTGCTTTCTCTAGATAACTGAATGAATGCATATAGCATATATATGTATGTATATTTTATGCTAATCCTCCTGTTTATTTGCGTATTCTGGCAATCTGTGAAAGTAGCGTAATTAACGTAGAGATAGCTTGTATCTTTGTATCTGTTGCACTCAGCTTTCTCTACAGATTTTCTACAAATTGCACCCACTTTCGGTGTTTCTAGGATATTAGAGTACACTTTATTTTATCCTTCCTATATTTTTAGTAATTAGACAAACACCCCGCCAATTTACATAATATATGCTTATCTTTCAAGCATAATATTCCAATTTAATTTATATAATTAGTATCTGTGAGATGCAAAAGCAAAAGCAGCTGAAAATGAAGGAAAAGTTGCAGCGGAAGAAGCGGAATATCTGTCCGACAATTAACCAACTTAAGTGTAATTACGAAATTTTCCTTTTCCTTCATTTCAGTTTCTACTTTTGTGGTTTCCCGCCGTCGCCCTGCTGCTGCACATTTGGCGACTTTTGCGGTTCTCGGAAAAGCTGGGGAAAAAGTGGCGAAAAGCTGAGGAAAAAGGCAGAAAGGTCATAAAGGCCGGTGGTGTGAAGTGCATCCCCATCAGGGTTAAACCATTTCATTAGCGTAATTTGCTTTTTAACCGGGCGCAGACACATTCGACCAGGCCAATTCTTATTCATTAGGAAGAGAATTTCTGCCCAGGGTTATTTTTAAATTAACAATAAATACAAATATAATATAATTTGTAGTCTTTAGTCTTAGATTTTCCTTTTAAGTGAAAGTATATTTATATTTTTGTTTTACCTTTTCCTTTCGCTATCTTTACTTTTCCCAGAGTTTTCTTTGCTTTCGAATTAATTTCATTATTAATTTACGAAATGTGTTTTAATCCCGACGCCCATTGCACTCAACGATGCCTGCCATTCGTTAAGGAAGGAAGAACAGACGTGAAAGTGTTCTTACATTTTTATTTGTGCAACATTTTAATTTCTCTGTCTGCCTTTAATGGGCGAAAAAGTTGCACAAGACCGGGCGAGATTGTGAAAGTGGTGGAAATTGTGCCAATGATGTGGAGAAAGGAGAGTGGAAGCAAGGAGGAAGATCCTGGAGGAGGTCCTGGATATATCTTCCTGGTTGGCCGTTGAAATGAAAAGCTCAAGCAGACACAGGCGCAGACATTGACGGGGCTTTGCGTTCGTCCATCTGAGTAAGTATGTTCTTACACGGAGAGAAAAACTTTGATTAAGAACTTGAATTTATCTTTGTGTAACTGGAATTTTTATTTTTTTCTTTTATAATTAAATTATAAATGGAGCTATTTATTTATATCAATAAAACCAAAAAGAAGTTGGTTTATAAAAAAAAATTAAAAGTTAAAATTTAAATGAAACCTTTAACTGCTGTAATTGGGATGGCCTATATTTACTCGCAGAAGTTGACGATCAAGTAAAGTACTTTCAGGATAATATACTTAACTTGTATAACAGCTGCGTTCCGGTTCGTAGAAAAATAATTCGTGCAACGGAGAAACCATGGTTTCATAATGGCATTCGGAATGCGATCAATGAACGCGACAAAGCTTTCAAAAAGTGGAAGAGGTATAGGACATCACATGAATACAGGAAATTTAGTTTGCTGAGACAATCTGTAACTAAGCTCATTGACATTGCTAAAAGCAGCTACTATTCCCGTAAATTTGAAAGAACATCTTCTACTCAAGAAACATGGAAAACAATAAAAAGTTTGGGAATAGGAAAATCCAAAGGGAGGGTGGAACAGGACATAGATGTGAATGAACTAAATAAACAATTTATAAAATGCTCAGTACCTGAAGTTCTTGACAATCAATACTTACAACTTGCACCTGAAATCGTCTGTGATAATAGGTTTAGGTTTGTGACTGTTAATCAATGTGATATTCTACAGACTATACTTGACATTAAGAGTGATGCGACTGGACTTGACGACATTAATCCGAAATTTATCAAAATTTTGTTACCTAGGATTCTGCCTTATTTAACTCATATATTAAATAAAGCATTAACAACCTCGACTTTTCCTGACTGCTGGAAAACGGCCAAGATTATTCCGATTCCAAAATCAAATACTGACTACAGACCTATATCGATCCTGCCGTACCTTTCTAAAATATTAGAAAATATAATGGCAAAACAAATAAATAAATTTCTCACTGACAATGAAATGCTAAATAATAATCAGTCAGGATTTAGGAAAGGTCGAAGCTGTACTACAGCTATATTAAAGATTACTGACGACATAAGGAAACAAATGGACGATAACAATGTCACATTTTTAGTTTTACTGGACTATAGCAAGGCTTTTGACACTGTAAACCATAATATTCTATGTTCAAAGTTACGTAATATGTTCCATTTTTCAAAAACTTCTGTTAAGCTTGTGTCTTCGTACTTAAATAATCGTCGTCAATCAGTTGTTCTATCTAATGTATCGTCGGAATTTGGAAATGTCACTCGTGGTGTCCCCCAAGGTTCAGTACTTGGTCCACTGTTGTTTACACTGTATGCTAATGACCTACCATCTGTGTTGTCAGAATGTAATGTGCATCTGTATGCCGATGATGTCCAAATGTATGTGAGTCGTCCTTTAAATAGAATAAGTGAATGTATTGATGTATGTATCCGTGAACTTGCTCGAGTAAATGAATGGGCAATCAAAAATGGACTAGGCATTAACCCAAATAAATCTAAGTGCCTCGTAATAAGCAGAAAAAAAAATAAAGCTAGACAATATCGAACCTCTTCACATTAATAACAGTCCATTAGAGTATGTCGAAAAAGCCGTAAATCTTGGATTTACATTCAACAGGACTCTTACATGGAACGATCACATCGCAAAGGCAATAGGAAAAGTATTTGGAATGCTGAGAGCATTGTCTGTGACTAAGGGTTGCCTGCCTATAAATGTTCGTATGTTAGTAGCAAAAACATGTTTAGTTCCGTGTTTATTTTATGGTGTAGAAGTTTTTTCAAATTGTGACTCGATTAGCCAAAATAAAATAAAAATAGTATATAATAGCATCGCAAGATATATATTTAATTTGGCACGAATGGAACATGTGTCGGCTTATGCCTATAAAATTTTTGACGTAGAACTTAGCGGATGGATAAAGATGAGAATATTGACATTTCTTCACAAATTAATATATAAGAAAGAACCAGCATACCTATTTGAAAAATTAACATTTACTGCGTCTAGAAGACTAAACAATCTAATTTGTATAAGGCCCAGATCCCTGACATCCGAGAGACAATTTTTTATTAATGCTATTAGATTATGGAATCAGCTACCCAACAACATTAAAAACATTAGCAATGCTACGCAATTCAAAGAAAAGGTACTCTCACAGTTTAAATAAGTCCCATAAATTAAATTAAATTACAGCGACTTAGGAATAGGATTAGGATTAAGTTAAATTAACTACAAAATATACTAAATAATAATAATAATAATAAACTTTAAATTGTTAGATTAAGAATATCATATGCACAAATTTTGTTTAGATTTAAGCTTTATGACAGTATGTATTGTAACCCTTTGTGACTAGCGCTCTAATTTATAAGTTTTACACTTGTAGCGTTAGGAAGGCAAATAAAATCAAATCAAATCAAATCAAATAGTTAAAAACATTTACAATACAATGTTACACAAACAACTCAGTGTTTTTGAGTGCACTGAGAGGATTGTTCCTTCCTATGAGCACCTGCTTTTAACTGACCTGGTGAGCGAGTATCTTTGGCCATTATCAAAATACCCAGACAATGCCAATGTGAAATGCTAAGGGCAGTAAAATTCGTAGAAGTTTCCTTCTACAACAGCAACACAGGTAAAGTCTGAAGCCACGAAAACAAAATAATCAAAAAATATATATTATATATCTTTTCTTGCCAGCCACTTACGTACTTTACTGAGAATGCCATAAATATAATGACTCTACATTTGTTTATTTTTTAATATACATTTCAAGCTTTCAATATTTTAACGTTATCAAAATTAGCCAACAAACAAATTAGATTTATCTCGAATATACATATACTAGCCTGTCTTTTTCCCTTTTAGATTTGCAAATGAATTACCCGAATATGAAATGCATTTTGAGTTTGTTATTTACTCACCAAAGGACTCCGGCTTATCACGGTTTGGTGCTTTTGCTGCTGCGGGGGCGTTGGTGGCAACGGATTGCATCCGTAGTCTGTGGCCTGTTGCTCCGGTGCAATGCCGAAGATAAAGGGACCACCACTACCGGCACCACATGGCTGAGGTGGCAGAGACGACGATGGCGGCGGAGAGTTGCCTGCAGGACGACGCATACAAAAGTCGTCCTCGAAACGCGAGTCTGGATAATATCTGGTGGGCGACGACGTGGAAGTGGTGTGAGAGCTGCTGCAATTGCTCGAACTGCTGCTCGAGATGATTCCCTGGCCAGTGCCCTGACCCAAAGCCGCTGTCATCTGTCGGTCGAAGCAAAAGTCCCGCGACTGGGCTGTCGGCGACGGTGGACTGCCATAGGGATAGCCAATGTGAGGACTCTGCAGGTGCTGGTTATATTGCTGGGACAGGGCATCGAAATCATTGAAGCCGTGTAATCCCTTGGCACTGTCCCGCTTCTGCTGCTGCACATAAGGCGAGATGTAGCTCCTTGCCGGCGGCAGTGGCGGCAACGGCAGGGACTGCTGATGATGATGGTGGATATTGGCTGTTCCGCCGGACTTGCCGGACTTCTTGCCCACACTCATCACCGTGAGCTGCGGACGCCGGTCGCCCAGCAGCGGTCTCTGTGAATTGTTGTAGGGATGATTGCGCTGCATGCAGGCCGAGCTGAGCGACATGTTGTCCTCGTAGTCATCGTGATCCTGATCAGGATCCAGCATCAGATCGTGGCAGTCGTAGGTGTCCTGCAGGTGTTCGTAGTACTTGAGGGTCTTCATATTCGCATTCGGCGGTGGCAGAGGCGGTGGTTGCTGCTGCTGCTGCTGCGAGACATGTTGCTGTTGTTGCAGGTGTTGTTGCTGCTGCTGCTGGTGACTGCCAACGTTATCCAGGGAATCCCCCATGGAGCCAGTGCCACTGCCCGCTGTCATGCCGCCAAACAGCTTGGCCAATTTCACAGTCATCTCCCTGCGAATGTGGGTCTGTGTGTGTGTGTGCAAACTGGCTGCTGGCAAAACTTTTTCAATTAAAATGTTACCCAATGCCAAAGACAATGACAGTTGGGGGGACAACTTTGCCGCAATTTTCTAACTGCAAGAGAAAAAAAGAAAGAGAGTGAGGCATTAGGCAGGATAAAAAGCATAAGAAATGAATATTTGCAAATATTTTATAGATTATATATTTCAATAAAAATATTTTCTTCAAAAATCTAGCATTGCAAAATAACATTTTAATTTCCGGTTTAACTTGGAACCGATATATTTCAATTGATATTATTTAACCGTCTCTAATATATATATATTTTACATAAAATACAAATATGAGCAATATGGCTCGTCTCTGCTGCTTGTTGCAGCTGTTGCTGTGTGTTCCTTTGAGCGAAAACCAGTAACGGAAACTGTAATGGGATATGTCAGCCGCAATTGCAACTACAGTCGCCAGAGCAACAGCAACATCAGTTGATGCAACTGTGGCAGCCGCAACGGAAACAAAAGGAGGAGCTTAGGCGGCAACTTAAAGAGAAATAAGTGCAATCACAGAATACAGGAACTGACACAGGAAAAACATTGTCCAGAATTCAAGAAACTTCAAATAAATTGAACATTTTTAAGGAATAAACATTAAAAAGAACAATGAATCATTTACAATTACAAAAACAACAGTAAAAAAAAGCTCGTTAAACATTTCAATAATATGCAGCGACATCGTTTTAGAAACTTCAACAGCAAAACCTAACCAATATGAGAAGGTACAATTTCACCAACGTTTACCAATACTTTTCAGCACCCGAAAATAAACTTTACAAGGAAATATATGTATGCACCAAAGAACCACTTAAATCATAACTTCCCAAAACTTGTAAGCCCGCAAGAATAACAACCCAAACTGCATCAATAGTTGCTGAATCAGAAATGACAACATCCAAGAATAACTTCACCAACAACTCTCGTCAGTGGGTGGAAGAAGTGCAGCATCAGCCGGCGAAACGCAACGACATTGACGCGCGAATATTTTCCACATATCGAACAGCAATAAAACTGTCAATTCCTTACATAAGTTGTGCGCAATTCCCCTTCTCCTAGCCAGGCTTTCGCCCCCCTTTCACTTTGGTCTAAAACAATTGCATAAAGTTAGAAATGAACGTCGAAAACAATAATAATAAAATAAGGGAAGGCAGCAGCAGCCACTGCAGGAACTGAAGAAGAAGGAGCAGCAGCAGCAGCAGCAGCAACCGCAGCAGCAGCTGTCAATTAAATGCTTCCCCATTGACGTCATAATAAAATGTCATAAAAAGAAAATAAGCGAAAAGGAAAAGCGTTGCCAAAGAATATGCACAGTACAGCAGGGGATGTGAGGAACAAAAAAAAATGCAGGTTGTAGGATACATCCAGTGTTATTTTTCAGTGTTTTTTTGTCACAGCTACACATATTCCAGTTTTTATTATTGTTCCTCGCTGCGGTCGTAACACTGAGAAATTGTTCACATTTTCCACAATTTTTGCTCTGAAGGTAGATCTTTTTATACAAAAAATCTATAGAAAGTGGAAATGGCATAAAGAAGCAACAAGTTTGCAATTTGCACTTCAAATCGCGTCAAAAATAAATGATGTTGGCAACCGTCCTGTGACAAAGGCCGAAAGGCGAAGGAAATTAACTGAAGACAAAGTCATCAGCTATTTTTTTTTACAACAAAATGGATAAGAGAAACTAATAAGCTCAACACTGAACCAGAAGCGGAAAATGATTTAACTTAAATTAAATAAATAAAAATAAAATATAACTGAAAGATGTAACCAAACTTGTTTTAAATTTGCAATCTTGCTAACTTCCATCAACTGAAAACTGATGACAAATTTGAAATAAAAATCGCTGTCCAGTCTCGACTGCCGTTGATTGTGTGGCGCAAATTTTAATGAGACAAAAAGATGTCAACGATAAAAGGTGACTGGGGGGGGGGAGAAGAATCTGCAGCATGAGAGGGTTAGTGTTGATGGCCAGTGGAGACAAGGAACAAATAAAGACAAAGTAAGGAAAAAGAAAAGACTTTTCAACGGGTTGCCAGACCATTTGCGTTGATCTCTTGGCAAATAAGCCAAGTTGTTCTCGACCTCCTTTTTTTCCTTACCACGACCCGTATCAATTATCTATTTCCCCTCACCCCTGACACTCCGTCTGTCCGCCTGTCTGCTAATAATTGCATTAGCCCGCTTGAGCTAGTGATAACGGTTCCTTGCTCGCGTGAAAAGGGGATTCTCCAAAGGCGGCGGAAGCGGATGTGACGCAAAAGGTGACACTTGGAGAAGAATGAGGAATGGGGAATACTTTTTCAGTTTAGTTTCTATAACAATAATTATTTTATAACTCAATATATTATATATTATATAATTATTTTATAACCTTAGTTAAAAAATTATAAATATAAACAAAAATAAATATTAAAAAAATTATTATAAATACGATTTTCCCAAGGTTAGATTATTATCGAAAACAAATAACGAAATATATTTTGAAATTAATTTTATTGTTATCAGGCAGACATATTAAGTAGCTAGCGATATATTTATCTTAAACTTATCGATAACTTCCACAGTAAATGCATACAACAATATTTTTATAATTTTAACTCATTTATTAGTAACAACAAATAAGTTTTATGAAAATAATGTCTTGCCTAAGCAACTCATTCGCTTCATTGTCTTTTATCGCTTTGTTCCACATAATTCGATAAATTTGCCTCTTTATACAGAGAGAGAGAAGAAAAATTGTCTACTGATGGCTTTTCTACAGCTTCTTGAGCTTCTCGAGGCCCTGACCCTGACTTTTCCCTCTCTGATGTTCGATTTCCCCTTCTCATTTAAAGCTTGCAAGAACTTTCCTTGAACAGTTTTGAGTTGCTGTTGTATTTACTTTGCTGTTGCTGTGCCTCATGTGGCAGGGACGTGACAGGAAATGGCCAAGAAAAAAAGCGGGAGGCGTCATAAGAAAAAGGCAGGAAAAAGTGAGTGAGTCAAGTGCAGGGCAATTAACTCAGAGAAGAAATGAACAAATCAGGGACAAAGAATAAAATAACTATAGAAACTAACATTATAAAATGCTAAATAAAATTAATTTAAAAAAGTTATATTCAAAACTTTCTTTTAAATCCAATAATAAAACCCTTTATGGGCATAATTATTTTCTCCTTGACGTACTTAACGTGGGCCTTTTTTTTTTTTTTTTTTTTTAACATTTTCAGTCTTTCATATTATCATTAAGCCGCTTTCAATTCACTTCGTAATCGGCTGAATCAATCTCCCAACATTATGCACTCATCATAATGCGCCCGATGATCATTAATTTGTATTCATTGTTATTACAGGTCCGATGCTGTTCGCCTCTTTTGTGTTTATCTCCTGCCAAATGAGTGATGAATGTTTAATAAGGACTCTGCGCAAAAATTGCATTGTGAATATATACATATTGGAACTTTAATTTTCGATTTGTCATAATCCAAATACGATTTTCAGACATAACACGAAATGTAATAATAATAATTATAAATTGTAATAAAACCTTAACAATTATTTTGGTTGCTATGCATAATGGATGATGGTCATTTAAGCAACAATTTTGTGGTAATTGCGGTCGTGGCATTTGTATCTATATCTGCATCTGCTGTGAAGTATCTGTATATCCACATTCGACTGATGCCGGTGCCCGGGCAGGTGTAAGGTTTTAACAAATAAAAAATAAAATCTGTGACGAGCGAAACCGGTTTCCCATCACCCGGGGTCCTTTGAGAACATTTCAGCAGGTAGGCTAACCCCTACAAACTATGAGATACAATTCGTATCCGACCATGTATCTATTAGATACGAAACAATAGGCGAGCAACAGCTGGCGCTGCTTCTTCTGGTTCAAGTCAGACCTCGATCTCCTATATACATTCGTTCTTTATCTTTTTTTTTTGTTATTTTTTTGCTGGCTGGTTCTGCTTTTGTGCCTGCAAATTGATTAGATTCTTCCGAAGCAGCTGCCTCAGCACAATAGACACAAAAGATTCAAAGATACAGAGAGCAACTGGAGCAGTTTTTGCTTTGCCTTACATTTCTCGTATTTGTATAACTTTTTTTGTTATTTGTTGTGTTACTTGGCTTAGTTCCCTGAGCGTGTGAAACACTTCCGTATTTGTTTTTTTTCTGCAGGTGCTGTTGCAACAATTAAATGTCATTGCAGAAAAAAAGTATATATGTATCTCACAATTTTCAATGCAAAATCAAGTTAGTAGAGAAGACCAGCTAGTCGATACACTGAAACAGCAACACATTTAACCATAAATTGCTAATAGAAAAATGTAAGTTAAGTATTTTTGAACATATTCCTATTCAAAATAAATATAACAATAAATTAATTCTTTTTTTTTTAAGATGGAATATCTCAAAAAAACTGATGTATAGGAAATATAGGAAGGCCGGATTTGAGTTTAGCCTATTAAAAACTTTTGGAAAAGAATATTCGGCTCTTGACTCTGGGATTTTTTCAAATATAAAATGTATATAATATAAAATATATATAATATAAAATATATATAATATAAAATATATATAATATAAAATATATATAATATAAAATATATATAATATAAAATATATATAATATAAAATATAATACAAAATAAATAGAAATAGTTCCCATCCATACTTTCGATAGAATTATAGCCGTTTTCCCTGCTCTAAAGACTACAAGGCAAAAAAAAATAAAGTCAAGAAAAAGGGAAAAAGTGTAAGCAATAATATCGCATCACGCGCATCTACAAAATGATTTCACACACAGCAACAACAACATCGGGCAGCAACATTAACTTGCTCTTTCATTATCGGCACATCATTATAGGCAAGAGTTCCTTCTTCGATGTTGGCGCTGTGCTGCTGCTGCTGCTGTTGTTGTTGTTGTCGTCACATTTGTCGAGCGACGTTTATTTATTTTGCCCTTTAACTATTTGGGCAGGCAGAAAGCAACAACACCAACTACGACAACAACTACGGCGGCAACAACAACCACAGAGATAACAACAACGATGACGACAGCCGCCAGCGGTCTTTGCTTTTTTTTTTCTCCGCCATATATTTTTTTCTTTCTGTTTTCTCGGCTTGGAGATGCACCTTGATTAAATTCCAGGAATTGAAAAAATCTTTTAGTCGCAGACATGGACGGACGCTTGTTGATATTTACCCAATGATCAAAGGGGGCTCAGCCTGAACGGGGGGGAGGTCGGTGGTGGGACTTGAGGCCCACTCCAGACTGGCTCCATTAATGATGCAGCAAATGGTCTTCCTTTTTTTTTCTTATTTTTATTTTTCGTTTCGTTTCGAAGCTAACAGCAGCAGTAACTTGCAACAACAGCAACAGTGATGATGCTGCTGCTGCAGCTACTTCAAGTTGGCAAAATGTGAAGGGAATTTTCTTTTATTGTTTTTCCCCCAAAAAAGAGCGAAAGAAATCAGCAAACAGCCAAATAATAGGCCAGGCATAGAAGATAAAACCGAAAAAAATTTGTATCTTCAGAATATAAGATACTCTAATTAAAAATAACTTTTTCAATTGTTTAATATTAATTTTTAAGAGATTCCTTTTTATATTTAACTGTAAAAGCTGCTGCAAAGCCGAAAAATTCTTCTAAAAAAATTAAATACATATTCTAATGATTTTTTAGAGAGTTATTTTTATATAGTTTATTTTTCTTAGTTTATTTTCATTTGGCAACTTGGCAACCTTTTCGGTCTAAACAGACACAACATAAAAAAAAAATACTATCTTGGCTCAACCAAAAGATACTCGTGTACATGTCTCTCGGCTTCTTGGGTCGTTTCTTCCCTCAGTCTTCCACTTTGCGGTTGGGTTTTCGATTTTCTATCTGGCATTTCTGCACAATAGACCAGCTGGAGAAGGAGGAGGAGGATGCTAAGGCAGAGGCCGGCCTCCATAGTCATCTCAAGTGTTTCCATCTCGAGTTGCTGCTTTGCTAAGCTTTAAAGATTCCCTTTGTTGTTGCTCGGGTTGTTTGGCATTTAACTGCAGTGCTTGTCAAACCGTGCACCCATAGACAATGCCGCAAAAGTGAGGCTTCTAAAGAGGAGGGGGAAGCACGAGGAGGAGTTCAAGAAGAGCAGGCACAACCCGGGCCAGAAGTTGCTGCTGCTGCTGCTGTGCTTGCCTTAATGATTTTACATTTTTTACATAAACAAGCCGGTCGGTCGGTCCCCAAACCACCAGCTGTCTTTTCTTTTATTTTTCCTTTTTCTCAATTTTTTTTTTTATTTTGCTGGCAGCAAATGCAACTCACGGAAAGCATTCAAAAGCAATTAAGCGCTTTCTTCGCAGCCACAAAGCGCAAGAGAGATGGCAACACGCAGGGAGACAGAGATAGCAGGTACACATGAGTTGAAAATGTAAAATCATCAATCAAAAAACAAAAAAATATATATATATATATATATATACATTTTTATATACTTTTTTTTTGTGGCGGAAAACAGCTAAGGAAAAGCCAGGCCCAGGCCCAAGTTCAAAACTGGAAATTCTCTCTCTTTCTGGCATGGCACAAGGTTTAACGATCAGAGAAATATTTGTGGATAGCCAGAAAACTTGTCTCGAAACAGTGTTAAGTAATAGCAATTAAGTGAGTTTTAATTCATAAATATGTAAATATTAAAAGTTAAACTTGAGTTTTAATATTTAACACATTTTTGGGATTTCTAAATAATATTTGTAAATAATATTCATCTTTCATTTATAACATATTATTTAGAGGTCTTGAAAGAGTGTTAAATAATAACTGTGTATTATTTAAAAATTCTTGTGAGAAGCTTATGAAGCCTAAAATATAATCTTACTTGATAGAAGAATATGAATACATTTTAAATACACCTCAAAACACATGAAAAAAATCTTCTAATTAAATAAAATAATATCCAAAAAACACTTAAGTGAAGAATAGATATCAATTTAAAAAAATTCTAAATTTATATAATTTAAATATTTATTAAAATGAAACAAATTTCAACTAGTTTTTTTTTGCCGTGCAGCGCAGGCCGGCCTCACAAAACAACAAATTATTAGCTTGATTATGCCAACAACATAGCCACAACGAATTTCGAATTCTTTTTTCCTTGCCTTTTTTTTATCGCATATATTGAAAAATGCTTGAAACTAAAAGCCAAGCGCTGTAATCATATTTAACTTTGCCTCGGCCTGCATGCCGCCTGCCTCATCATCGGTGGCTGTGCAGCAGCAGCAGCCTCATCTCCTTCACCTGATTTCGGCTGCCGTGCCGTTCCGTGGCATCGATGTGGATGTTGCCGCTGTGGAGCCGTTGCCAAACCTCAGAGGCAACCGCAACAGGTAATTGATGCCGCTTGCGCGTTGCAAGAACTTTAATCAATTTTTCAGATATTTTTCTTTAGTTTCGTTGGCTTTTTTTTCTTCCTCCTCCTCCGAGTTGTTCGTCCACCTTTCAACGTGATGATGCCTGTGTGTATGTGTGTTGCAAGTGGCTATAACAACCGAAAACGGCAACCGAAATGGCCAACACAAACGGTTTCGTGCGGCAAGGGGCCAAGGGGGGGCACCAAGGGGATCGGAGTGGACCCAAATGACTGGGAATTTGGCCAGGTAAGCCAGGTAAGTGCAGCCCAGAGCGGCCAGCAAGTGGCAGCCATTCGCCATCATGACCATACACATACAACAAAGATATATACTAAATACATACATACATATATCTCAGGGATGGCAGCAACAAATTTTAGCAAATTACTGTGAGGTAACCGAAGATACGATATGGACAAGGGTTCGCAGATCAGATATCTGAACAGCACGAAGGTATAAATCTTTGGAAGAAAGGGCCATAAGAGCGCGCAGGCGGCAAGTTAATAACACTTAAAAAATAAAGACGCAAAATATAAAAAGGGTGAAGATAAATATAATATTTTATTTTCTGATTAGGAACTAATAATGCTAGGTTTGCTATGGTTCCACACCTTTTTTGATTTAAAAAAAAAAAAAAAATGGGCCGCTGGCTATAAACTGAAATTTTTTATTTGAGGAAAGCCAAAGAACGCTTTTATTGAAGGCCAATCATAGCGACATTTTATCGCCTTTCTTCGCCGATAAAAATCAACATTGAATATTCATGGTTACTGCTTTGATTGCCACTGAAATCACGCTTATCTATATCCGATTTCCCTGATGGCCTGGCGATACTTTTACACTTATATAAGCCCAGCGACAAGTTGCCGTCATTCACTTAACTTTCACAATTTTCGATTTCCACACACTCCCCCACCGCCCGGGTCCCACAGCTCCTCTTTATTCTCCAGCGAGGTATATACATACACATATGTGATCCCCTCCAGAAGCCCCACATGCCGCCTCTGTGGTCGGCTGTCTACTCAATCACAGCGTAAAGCACTTCTGAGTCATAAAAACCAAGCCAGACTGCGATTGTGTAGTTGGCAATTTTATGCAGCGCCAACTCTCTGGACTCTAGACTCCTCCGGAGCACCGTGAATGCGACGGTGTCTGGAATGGATCCAAGGGGACACCACGGGCACGACGGCCGGGGGTTCACCATAGAGTCGAGCGATAAAAATGACACATGGAGCTCTACTCTACTCTACTTCACTCCACTCCAAAGGCAAATGGCAGAGAGACAGATGGAGAGAGAGTGAGTGCCCCCTGTGGCAAGTGACATTTCGTGGGGGCGCAGACAGGCCGAAAAGCGGAGCAACTTGATCGAGTTCCTTTCGTGGAGGTTTTTATTTAATTCGGAAACTTTGAAAATGCAACTCTTTCGGAGGGCGCTCTAAACTTTTTGATACTCTTAACATTGAAGACCAAATGAGTTTCGTTCAACACAACATAATTTCGTAAATTATGTTCAACCGCCTGCAATCGAAATCAAAAGTAAAATAAATAAAGCATTTGAAAGTCAAATTTTGAATAGCTAACGAAGTAAAAATCATAGCCTGCTATATCCTCTGACCGTAAAATGTTTAAACGTTTCACTACGTTTGAACGATCAAAGTAGGCCCGAAATTTTTAATCCAAACAGCAAGCACTGTTCTGAACATTCAACATTCATTCCGAAAACATTCTTCGAACTACAAGAACCAAATTGTATTCTTCTATTTTCTGAAAAATTTTTATCATTTCGAAAATTTCTATGAAAAGAATCGGAAATGAATAAGGTTTACGTACTTGTAATAATCTTATCTATCTTCGCCCACAGCACGGGAGTCCTCTACTGTCCTCAAGGGGTCAGTGCTGACAGCGTCCTGTTCTTAATCATGGCACCAATGGCTTTGCACAAGTTGAAGGTGAAAAACGATCTTTGGGAATGGCAAACTCGACTGGGACACATTTTAGAGTTTGGAATTCTATGCCTGCTAGTTCAAGTGGTGCTTGTTGCCATTTGGTTCCCTGTAAACCAAGTGATCCAGATTCTGATGGACTTCTTATGCACTAAACTTCCATTCGAATACATTGAAGCCTTTAAAAAAAATGGAGCTACTGTGTGCATACTAGCCATCGAATTGATAGTGCTTCTTAAGTACTTTAGCCTCCAGGATGTTCACGGTATCTACGGGTCCGAGGACGAATTGGTCACAGAAAGCACCCTATTGGTCTTGGCAAAGCGGCAGAAGACTCTGGAGCGCAGGGCGATGCGAATGCAGAGACAGTACTAATAAGTACGAAATTGTAATTAAAACATAAATTAAAAGAAATTATAAGAAATAACATTTAGGCCATCCAATCCATATATATTCTGTATTGATATTTATTTGATATTTCTCGATATTGTATCGATATTGCTCAACAGGTAAGTGGTTTTCTGGTTTCGTTTTTGGCCAAGTATCTCTTGTTTAGCCCGATTAAAAGTACAAGCCACAAAAGCAACACGTTGACACAATCGTAAGTAATTATTTTATAAAAAATGTTTATAATATGCAATTGCACTCACAGCAGCAGCAACAATCGAAAAAAGAAAACACAAGCAACCCAACAACCTTGACGTTGTTGTATATGCCCTTTAATGGAGATTTTTATTTTACCTTATACGCTTTTGTGAGCTTCACCTTGAGGTATCTTTTTCGGAGGTGGAGCCAGCCGATGGGCGATGGGGGAAACTTGATTTATAATGCAGCCGGACGGTCCCCAAAAAAAATATAACAATGTAATTGCGCCCTTTGATCGTGTCCATGGGCAACCTTCGAATAAAAAAATCTATAAAAACTGTAAAATCTTAAAAGTAATCCCAAAGCAAAAGATTGCCCTATAAGCTAAGTAAACAGAGGCGGAGGAAAAGACTGGGGTGCCAGGCCAGTTTTCCTTTAAAGTTTAAATAAACAACTTCATTAATCATTGGAAAATAAAGGCGATAAACAAGCAGAGGTGTAACTACAAACGAATTAGAAAATATGGAATCTCTGCAAGTATTTAAAAACATAAATTTTCAACCGGAATTCAATTTAAAAATGTCTCCCCAGAAACTGAAGGTGGAAAGTTGGGCTTTTTCGCCATCTCTCTTATGAATTTCATTGCGTGAACTTGGCGACACACAAAAACGACCAAGAAAAACATCAAATATAAAAAAGAGAAAAAGAAAAAGAAGATTAAAAACTGGGAACAAGAGGAAGCCAACTCCTGGCGTCAGCCCATAAAAAAAAGGTAAAACAAACAAAACAGGCAAACAAACAACAACGACAGCGAAGGGCAAAGGCATTCATGATGCACTTGGAAGAAGTTCTCCGTTTAGCTTAGCCAAAAATAAAAGGTGGGGAAATTGCCTTTTTACCTTTTCGGTTTTATCGAAAGTCAATTGAGCGTATACCGATAATGAACGAAGGGTGATAAATCGCTGCTATATTCGGTTACATTTCGCCAATCAATTGGAACCGTTTTTAATAATTATTATTACGAGATTTATTTCTATTCGGATGAGTTAACATGACAGAAAGTAATTCGAATGGATAAGAATTTTTGTTATATTTTATTATTATTTTATTATTATTATTAGGAAGCTACACGCTTTTCTATTGCTTTTTAATGGTTGTTACAGTATTGAAAACAAACAAATATGAATTATCTTCAACTCTCTAAAATTACCCTTCCTTTTAGGCTCTTAATAAAATTCTTGGCTAAAAAATGAACACCTTTTTGCTTAATTGGTTCTCTTAACCACTTAAGTTACTTCTTTCGCTCTTCTCTTTAAAGGTTTTTACTTTTTTCCAAGTTTTAAGCTGCCTGACAAACATTTTACTTTAATTTTGTTGTCACCTAATTTTGATTTATTTGTTTCTGTCATTCTCCATTTTTTATTTGGCGTCCTATTTTTTTTTTCCGGCTTTCCTTTTTGTTTCTCAAGAGCCTTTATTTCTTTGCTATTTTTTTCGGGCCTGATTTGCTATTTAAATGTTACAACGAAAATTCTCGTCCGTATTGAGAGTTTTGTCTGCCTGCCTGTTAACTTGGCTTTCATTTCCGTGTGACCCACATTTTCAGAGACGACAAATTGCCAAGAGACACAGAGAGAGAGAGATTTTCCATTGGGCTTCTGTTTGGCGCCTTCAATTGCCATTCACCCACGGCAATTAAATGGTTTTCTACAAGTTAACCTTTCGCCGACAGTCGACAATAATATTAATTATAGTTTTTGATGCTCTTTGAATGGGCTTCAATTAAAGACGCTTGACAATTAATTAATCAAGTGAGTCCCTGTGTAACTTTTCATGTGTGTAAAAGCCTCGGCCTCGCCACTTCGATTTTCACTCCCTTTCTCTTTTGGTGAAAATGTGCGTTTTATGTTGAAATTTAATCAAAGGACAAAATAATTGAATGTGTTAACTACAAAGATAGTTAATGTAATTTAAATTTAATAAATATTTCAAGCTTTAAATAATACTTTAATGTATTATAAAATAGGGAAAAGAAAAATACTTCTCGATCAAATATCTGGGAATATTTTTACCTAGAAAATTTATACTCTTTAAATAAGTAAATCGTTTATTATTTAAATGTTTGATTATATAATTTGATTATTTGATATGTTAATTACATTTAAATTAATTAATAATTAATTTTTGTGCTAATATAACTTAGATAACTTTAAGAGGTTATATTCTATTAGATGCATGCTTTGATTTAAATTTAATAAATATTTAATGTCTTTTAATATTTAGCTTTAATATAAAGAAATATTTTCAACTAGAAAACTAATACATTTCTGTGAAAAGTTAGCTATCAATTCAATAACTTCAAGTTTATTGCTTTATTCTTTCATTTCTTATAGAAAGTTGGCCTTTTTCTATGGCTTACGGCCAGCGGCCTTATGTATATATATATATATATAGTGTATATATTTACCTGTAGCGCTTATATAATGCACTTGGTTTCTTTAAATCAAATTTAATTTGCCGACACACGAGTGCTGTGCTGGGTTTGTTGGCCGAGCAATTAAATGCATGCAAAGTTAATTGAGAGAGGAGCAGCAACGACTCCGACTCTGGCTGATTGTTGCTGCTGTTGCTGCTGCAGTGTTGCAGTTGCAGTTGCAGTTGCAGTTGTACTTGCAATTTCCATGGCTGATGGAGTGGAGTTTTGGTTTTTCCTTTGGCACGTATGCGAACAAACAAACGCAAATGAACAGGCGGTGCACATGCATAAAGATATACATACATACATACGTATGTATGTGTGTGCACCTGCCTGGGCATTATATATAGTATTTTTTTTATTTTTTGTTCATGTTTTGGCAGTGGTTCACATTTTGCACTTGATTGAAGTTCATATTTTTCATACTCGAGACGAACACTAATTGTTTTCACTGTACAAGGTAATTTTTGTTTTTTCTGTTTCGGTTTTCCCCTTGGAAAACTCTTGAAAGAAATCCCTGCAAGTTCCTAGACAAATTTCCCATAGGTCGTTGGCATGGAAAAATGCAAAACCCCGTTAAATGTATTTTAATTGCACGAACAATGTGGGAACGCAATTAAAACAAAGCTACAAAGAAGCAAAAAAAAAAAACCCCGAGAAATGAGAATTAAAATAATCAGAAAAGGCAAATTTCAGCTAAGCCAAAAGGCAAACAAAAATTTCAGAACGCCACACAAACGTAATTAAACAAATAATAATAATTAAGGAAAATTACCCAGGTTCGTGCTATATATTACTGAGATTTGATTAACAGTAAACAAGAATTAATCTTTGAAATATCAGGTATAATTTCAGTACAAAAACGATTTAGTTTTCTGTAAAATGTGTATGTATATTCATATAAATGTATATAAATATTATTAAAATAAACCAAAAACTAAGAAAAGGTTAGGCAAATATTTCCATAAAAATCATATCTCTGTTAACATAGTACCAAATCTAATCCCATATATTTTTCTAAGGGCTCTATTGTGCAACCCAGCATCTTTCTGCAATATACCATCCATCATCATCTTGAGAGCTCCATAACTAGTTAGCATGGATTAACTTTGGTTTAAGCCATTAACCAAACACAAAACAAAACCTCTTTTTCTATTTTACCTTTTTCCCCTATTAAAAAAAATCAACATAAAGCCCCTAGGGCCAAACAGAGGCATCTTTTCCTACGTCTTCTTTTATTTCTCATTAGTGGCTCTGGCACAAAGTTTCCATCAGTTTTTCAGTCGTTTTTCCAGTGTTTTCTTGCTTGGCTTTTTCACACGCTTCGTTGGCAAGCTTATAAAGAAACCATAGAAGAAGAAAAAAAATACATAAAATTGAAAGAAATAAAGAAAAGCGACTCGAAAATGCAAATAGAAAAGGTTAACACACAAAACTAACCAACAAAAAATAAAAACCGAAAAAGTGCACGTTTCGGTGTGGGAGGGAGCGGGATGCCGATAGTGTGGAACAAAGAGGCAGACAATAATCATAAAAAGTTGACAACTTGTTGACCCTTTTGTTGGTTATTGCATTTTGAGGGAACACACGTTCATTTTGGATCGTAAAATTTTTTGAAAACACACCATCCACTTAGAGTCGTTATCAATGGAAATTTGTTGCTGACTCAATATTTCTGTCTTTTTCTTAATTTCTTAGCTCTCTCTATTTACATTTTTATTAATTTTTAAGCTTGCACAAGCACAAAGTGTAAGCTGTAAGCTTTTTGAAATTAAATATAATTGGTTATATATCCGTTTACATTTTAGATCAACATACTTCCTTCAACATATTAGGTTTAAGACCTTTTTTTTTCCATAAAAACAATTTTTGTAGAACTTATTAAGTAGTTTTCCTAAATATTTAATTCCTTAATACATTCTTTTTTTAATTGGCCCATTTTTTGCAGAGTATTTGCCTGTTTCTACTTGTTGGCCAAAAGGCCGCCTTAAATCTTCGATTCCCGTTGCTGACGTTTGTCGTTTGCTGCCACAGTTGTTGCTGTAATTTTCGCATAAATTTACAATAATTTATGCAATGGCTTGCATTGTTGTCTTCGTGGTTGTTGTTGGCCAATGCCTGTGTTTGACTCTGAGTTTTACTCTGGACTTCAAGAGTTCGAGTTCGAGTTCGAGTCTGCCATTTTCCACCGCTTGTTTATCGAATTTTTTATTGTCATTTGTGTTTTTATTGAACAGTTTGTGACATTTTACGATTTTCAAAGTGAAAGGTACATATTTGGTAAATTGCTATGGCCAAAGAAATGCGACTCTCCTCGTCTGGTTTAGTTTCGGCTTAAGTTTTGGGCACTTGCATTTGCTTTTTAGCTACCATATATTTTCCCCCCTTTTTTTTTCTTTTCGGACTGGTTTTCCCCTTCCCTAGCCACTTAGCCTGCGATGAGTTCAGTTCGGTTGCCGCTTCGGCTTGCGGCTTGTTGAAAATGGGAAAAATTGCGCTTTATATATAGTCCATAAAAGTTAATAAGTAACCTCGCGGAGCGGACGGGCTTAGCAAGTGCCTGTCACGAAAAGTCGTCTTTTTCCCATTGAATTGTATTGAATCCGAGGGCAAGTCTTTAGTTGATTTTATTTGAAATTGTACAGTCGAGTTTATAAAAGAATAAAAGACTTACTAACTAAGCAAACCTCGGATATAAAAATCCCTTTGAACTAGTGAGCTTTATGATTATAATATTTCTATTAGTTGTACAAAGAAAGCGGCTGAATCTAAGCTAAAACCCTCCTTACATTTATTATTAAAATTATATAAAACAATATAATTCTCTGCCAAAAAAAGATGAAAGTTGTCAGTTTTTTCAACTATTCCCGTGCCAAAACATTAAAGTCAATTTCATTGAGACCCCCGCCCAAAGTTCGACGCTAATTTCGGTCACGTGTGGCAAATACAAGACGGCAAAATAGTAATAAAGAAAAAAAAAGAATTCTTCAGCTAAAAAGCTAAAAGAACAAAACCATTTTGGCAGCGCGAATTTTAACACAATTAAATAAAAAAAAAAAAAAGAGGAAATAAAAGAGTAAATAAAAGAGTAAATAAAAGAAAATAAATACCAAGGGAGAGCGCAAAGATGCATCGAAAGGCAAATAAACTGAATAAACGATTTGGCGCGAAGCCAAACGCAGAAATTAACACAAAATTTCTTCAAAAAAAGATGACGGAAGGCGACACAAAATGCAATGGAATATTAAATGGAATACGGCGATGGAGCTATATCTTTTCAACTCGATTTGCATATAGCCAAAAGAGGAATTGCGAGAAAATTCATAGGGAAAATAAGTATTTGTTTGGAGTAAACGAAATTGAAATTGATTTACGAAAACTCTTGCTATAAAAGATAGAAAAAAGCTAAACCACGCAGAAACTTTGTATAAATGTAGGGAAAATCTTTATAGTAATGTTTTATATATTTATATCATATAATAAATAGAAATTAAAAACTTACTTACCTAGGATACCTTAAGAACAATGTATTCTCCTGTTTTCAAAATTTGAGAACGCTGCAAAAAAAAAAAAAAGAATTAGAATGTATAAATGTGGTTTAAATATAAAATATATAATAATATATAAATAAAATATATAATAAATTTATATATAAGAAGCTAGCTTTAAACAACAAATGAACTAACAAAATGCAGGGAGTTAATGAAACCGGAACAAAGCCACTACAAAGGAAGGAAAAGGAAAACAACAAATAAATAAGTATAAAAGAATTTAGGGGCGTGGAAAAGGGGAGGCAAAACATGATGTTGCAAGTGTTCAATAAGTCGGCGACGAGGAGGAGCAGATCCTAGAGTGGATAGGTTGGATTATGGCTGCAAAACCTAACAAACCATAAAAATCCGCACATAAATTACATGGTAAAGGAAGACTAAAGAGGGGGAGTCTGATATGAACAGAAAAAAAATAATATCCATAAAAACTATTTTTAAAAATAATTTTTTTAATTGCTGCTGGGTAAATAATCTTAAAAAAAAATCAAAAAATATCATTTGCCTTAGGAGTTTTATTAAATAGATTTTAGGACTGTCTCTGACTTCCATTTATCTGTTTTTTCCAGTGTATGGGACAGCCAAAGAAGCAGCAGCTGCGCCAACGATGGCCAACATACGCAAATGCAAGCAGCAGAAATTTATGAGCAGCCATTCGCAGTCAGCTCCGAGGATCCGCCAAACAAAACTGCCACAAGTGGCCAAAAAGATGGAAGATGGCAAATGGAAGGGAGTACCAAGACGAGGAGGAGCACGAGCAAGGAGACTAGGAGAAGGCCAACTTAAGACCCGGACCAAGTGCAATGACAAAGGCAAATAAATTACAGCATCATTTGCAGGCAAGAAGCAGCCGACAAAGTGGAGTAAAAAGGACAGGGAACATACTACACACAAGGAGGACAGAGATGGAGCAGAGCCTTAACTACCAAAGATTGGCCAACGACAATAAAAAAAAGAACTCCCCCCGAAAACAGAAAAAACCAAAGGAATTGGGTGGAAAAAAAACCGAGACCCCAATCAATGGAGAAATAATTACAAGCGTTACTTTCTTTGGAGCCTGCAAGTCTCTGCTATGCTCCTCCTTTCTCCTTTCCCCTACACGTCTCTCCCTTCTCTTTAAGCATTAATCAACGGTAATTGCCTACGCCCCAATAAAGGAGGAGGAGAAGGAGCAGGAGATTGAAAAGGAAAGAAACCAAGGAAAGCTACTGAATCTTCCCAGGATTATCTCTCAGCACACAAAGATATTAAACTAGAAGATACCATATAACAGACATCCTTGAGGGACATAGTCTTTGTTTATAATGAACCCTTAATAGACATTTTAGAGGTCAGGAAATGAGACAAAAATTGTTTAATTCTAATAGTTAAAAATTAAATAGAAAATCTCTTAAAAATGAATTCGTTTTATAATTTAATTTATCTTTTCGTTTTTTCAGGTCCTATTTCATCAGCTGTTAGAAGAATATGACTCATGTACTCATTTGGCTCATTTCATATTCCTCGTTTTCTACTTGCAACAATGCAAACAAAATTATATTATTTTTTATTTTTGCTTCTTGTAATATAGCCCATTATTTGCTCTCTTCCCTCGGAGACTTTATGATGTTTTATCGTTGCTTCTTTTTCAACGGCCGCCACTTCAGATTCGTTTGCCATGCGGAAGGTATGAGTCATATTTATAGCCTAACTTAAGTTGGTAAAAATAAAAAGAAATATAAAATCCATAAATAAAATAGCTATATATATAAATAAAATAAAATTTTGTATTTAAAAATGTTCCCATCTATTGTAAAGTTTTTTGTTAAGTTGTTATTAAGTTGGTGTTGAGTTGTTAAATTGTTGTTGAATTGTTTTTAGTTGTTGTTGAGATCGTTAAGTTCTTGTGTGTGAGACACCAACGCTTTTGAGAGGCTGTATTGCTTAAACTAAAACTTATACCCAACAAATTATTTGCCAGAACATTGAACTACTCTAATGCAACGCAGTGTATTGGGGAGTACACTCTCAAAAGTCAGCTTGCCTGCAAAAGCCTTGGCTTGAAAAAAATATTTTCAAGTGTTTTTGCCGCTTGACTGATGCACTGTTGTTGCAATTGTTGTTGCTGCTGTCGTACATGTTGCTGATATTGTTGTTTATGTTTCGGCTTATTTAGTTATGTTTTGTCCCCCCCCTTTTTTTTTTGTTGTTGTTGAAATTTTCGAAATATTACGTATACGTCCACAACTATTGTGGCTTTAATTGGCCTGTTTTTGTCGGCTTTCGTCTGATTGTTGCTGGTTTTTATTGCAAATTTTTTTTTTCTGTAGTTTGTTTTTGTTGCTCTGTGCAGGCCCATTCGTATGGCGATTATTAACTTGCAGATTGCACATTTTACAGTCAATTTGGTGCGCAAATCGAGTTTGTGTTCGGATTTTTGCTCCCGTACTCCCTTTTTTTTCTCCCCTTTTCCATTTTTCCATTCACCCCTTTTTGTTTCTTGAATACCTCTCCCTATTTTTTCTGCTCTGTTTTCCCCTGATTGCCATAAAAAGTTTGATTTCTTGAGGGGAACAGTGTAAGATTCAGTGTACCTAGAGTGATTTTTTGTACAAATGTGCATTTAAAATCATTTAAAAATTGTAACTAAAAGTATGTTACACCAAAATTTCTTAGGGAATTTTGTATACAAAATTAAGATGTAATTGTGTTTCATTTTAAGAGTTTAATATGCCAAAATTATATTCCCCTTATAGTTAATTAAATGAACTTTAAATACATTTCGAAATTTCAGTAGTAGGTCTCCCTTAAAACAGTCTTCACTGTGGACCAAGCAAATAAAACTCGCCGCCGACACAAACAAGCCAACAACAAATCTGCCATAATAATTGATAAACACTCGATAGGTTCATGAACCCCTCAACACACACGCACCCAAAACAAAGACAAAAGCAACGAAAATAAGTAAAAGAAGTACAAGGGGCGGGAGGAGGAGGAAATGGAGGGCAGAAGGGAGAAGATAGAGCACGAGGAGCCGGCAGAAACTTCATCGTTTAGTCATTTTTGCTGAGTTTCGTATAATTATTTTTAGCTTTAGTTTTTCTGCCGTCCTAGTGAGTCACGTTGAAGGTAGAGGAGATACCCCCGCCCATGGTTAAATTGACTTTTAATTGTTTAACAAAAAAAAAAAAAAAAAAAAAACATAAAAAAACAACAAAATATAAAAAAAAGGGAGCATAGACACGAAAAACGGCCGGCCAAGTCGAAGTCGTTGGCTATTAAAGTAATTATGGAAAGTTGGTGATTTTTACGCATTTGGTGTGTAAATTGATTTTGCTATATTTTTTATCATTTCTGTTTGCGAACTTAGCCGAAAGTTGTTTTTGTTGATTTTTTATGGGGAAGAACTGGGGATTTTAGATTCATGCAAGCCATCGAGACAGACACTGAAATCTGTTGTTTCTGATTTAAAATTTATGTTTACATTAATTATTCAAATAATTCCAAAAATTTAGGGTTACACTTTTTCAAATAAAAATATATTTTACAACGAATTGAGTTAACTTTAAAACTAAAACAAAAGATTTAAATGAGAGTCTGTAAAATTAATTTTCGTTAATTTCGTCAATTTTTTAAAAGAAAAAATCTTGATAAATTATAAAATAAAAAATATCTATGCCAAAAATCCATTTCAATGTAGCTTTTAAATTGAAACAATTAAATTTAATTAAATATGACGACAATAATATAGAAAAGCTAAGAAAAGTTGTTGTTTTTTTATTGTAGATTATTTTATTATTATTTTTTTATTATTATTATTATTTGTTTTGCGAGCGGTGTGGGAACTTTTCAAGACCTCCCCTCCCCCAGACTCCCCTCGGCCAGTAGCCCTGGTCATGGGCCATAGCAAATCGGGTTTGAAATGCAATAAAGCGTGATTTTCCAAACTGAAGCGTAACGAGCAACGAACGAGCAAAAAAAAAAAAAAGCCGTATGCTATACACATACATACATAACAGCTATAGTTGTATATTGCAAAATAAACACCTGAAGCGAGACAGGCAGAGCCACAACAACACCAACAACCATACGCATAGGGCCCCGAAACGTAATCTCTCTTTGTAGCCCCAGGGTTCAAAAAGGGGTTAAGCGGCCAAGTTTTGTGGGTGAAGTGAGGGTTTGGGGTGGGTTAACGAAAGTGAACCCCAGCGCATCTCGGGCGAAGCCACACCGAAAACTAACCCACAAAATCAAGGTAATTCATACGGTTCAATGCAGCAGAACACAAAAATGGGTAGTAAAAAAAATTTAAACCAAGGGAAAAGAAAAGGGAAATTAAGTGAAAATTGAGAAAAATAACATTTTAAATATTAAAAAAAAACAAGCAAGTACTTATTAATTAATTGTAAAATTAAGCGATAGGATTATCGATTACAAGCAAGCCAAGTCAAGCAATCAATCATTAAGCTACCAATACTGTCGTTATCGGGAGTGCTTAGTTTTTATTTATTATTCTGTTGAGTTACTTTATCAATGAACATGTTGCAATTTTGTTTTGTGGATTACAAGTGGAATCAGTAAGACACTAAATAAATAATATAATTGATAAAGAAAAATGACAAAGCTTGTGCTAAAAATACACTATAAGCTGGTGATATTATTAAAATATTAATAAAATTAAATAATAAAGATTTCACTGAAAACATTTTTGGTATTTACTTTTATTTAATGTTATTTAATTGCTTTTTAAATATTTTAATTTTAGATTAAATATCGATAGGCAATATTTCTCTATATGAATAAGTTAATTTAAAGATGCACAATTATTCACAGTTTTTTGAATAGTTTTATAAACAAAACATATATATATTTATATATTTATATATATATATATATATATATATATATATATACGTTTATACGTTGACTTTATTTTACTAGATGCTATAATCAATCAAACTTAGCTATTACCTAAAGTTATTAATCTCGCAGTAAGTGGAGTTCATTTCTAGTAACCACAAGTGTCGAAA